TGTTGGTGAGTGTGGGTGTGGGTGTGGGTGTGGGTGGGTATAGGTGTGGGTGAGTATGGCTGGGGCTGTGGGTGGGTGTAGCTGTGAGTGTGGCTGGGGCTGTGGGTGGGTGTGCCTGTGGCTGTGATTGTGACTGTGGGTGGATGTGGCTGTACCGCTCACGCTCATGAGCGCTCATATGAGCGTGAGCGTTTTTTCGCTGACGCTCATGCTCATGTGAGGGGTGGTCGCTCACGTTCATATGAGCGCACATGAGCGTGAGCGGTACAACCCTACTCATATGAGCGTGAGCGACCATCCCTCTCGTGAGCATGAGCGTGAGCGAAAAAGCGCTCACGCTCATATCAGCACTCATGAGCGTGAGTAGTACAGTCCTACGCTCATGCTCAGGTGAGGGGTGGCCGCTCACGCTCATATGACTAGGGCTGTAGCTGTGGCTGTGCTTGTCGCTGTGCTTGTGCCTGTGGCTGTGGCTGTGGCTGTGGGTGGGTGTGGCTGTGAGTGTGGCTGGGCTGTGGGCGGGTGTGCCTGTGGCTGTGATTGTGACTGTGGGTGGATGTGGCTGTAGCTGTGGCTGTGGTTGTCGCTGTGCTTGTGCCTGTGTCTCTGGTTGTGGCTGTGGCTGTGGGTGAGTGTGGCTGTGGTTTGGCTGTAATTGTGATTGTAGGTGGGTGTGGCTGTGGCTGTGGGTGAGTGTGACTGTGGGTGGGTGGGGCTGTCGCTGTGGGTGTGGGTGGGTGTGGCTATGGCTGTGGTTGTGGCTGTGAGTAGGTGTGACTGTGCATATGAACAAACAGAAGGCTCAGAACCCCATCCCACACCCACACGTACATCTGCACCCGACACGCACACCCACACCCAAACATATATCTGGGTGTGGGTGTGGGTGTCGGTGGGTGTGAATGTCGGTTTGGGTGTGGGTGTCGGCGTGGGTGTGGGTGGTTCTGGGTGTAGATGTAGGTAGGTGGGGTGGGTGTGGGTGTGGGAGTGGGTGGGTGGGTGTGGAAGTGGGTGGGTGGGTGTGGGTGTGGGAGTGGGTGGGTGTGGGTGAGTGTGGATGTGGGTGGGGTGTGGGGTGGGTGTGGGTGTGGTGGTGGGGTGTGGGTGTGGTTCTCTGAAAAAGTCACCCACACCACGACTAACACCCTTACCCACACCCAGATCCACCCACACATCTCACACCCCATCCATATCCACACCCACATCCATACGCACACCCAGACCCACATCCACACCCACACCCACCCACATCCACACCTACACCCGCTTGTAACTTAGTTAAAGCTTCTTTTCACGGTCCGTAACAAAAATCACTGCATAAGCCTTTTGAACAGCCTGATTTTGTACACATAAACTCAGCTCGAATTATCGGATTGTTAGGATACGTTCTTGCTGAACCGGTGCAAAAGTGAATTGTTTCCGATGGATCACCTTTAATGTTCGCTAATACTAATGATTGTAGTTGTGTATAACTACATACACACTCGGAACCCTGCATCGATAGATCACAGGTTAAAGCTGCAAGAAACTAAACTGACTTCCACACTTTCACTCGCAACGGCGCAATATATCAACGATACGTTAGTTTTTTTTCTCTGTGACCGAACAAAAAATAGCATAAGCGTAGAATGTGCGCTATAGAACTCGGAGATTTTTTCATAGAACAAAAAATATTCTGGGAATATTTCAGTCCTTATTTTGAGTGTGGGTTTGTTGTTTTAGATAACAGATAGCACATGTCTGGCAAAATTTAACATATGTCTCTCATTCTTGTCTAAGTCCCATCTCACTCATCAATGTTAAATGAATAAACGCTGACGGTGTGTGTCTGGATGTGGGTGGGTGTAGGTGGCTGCTGATGTGGATGTGAGCATAGGTTAATGTCGATGTTGTTGTGCGCTACATTGATGCCCACCCTCACACCTTAATTACTTTTGGTAGTCTTGTCGGATCAGTTTTATCCAATCCATACATTTTTTTTCTACCATATCTTGAGCAAAGATAAATTTCATTTTAGTAAATTTATTTGGTTTTGTATTGATTGTATTTACCAGATGATTTTAGTGATCAATGTTGTTCACCTTCGTATATCACTGAACGTCCAGATTGGGGAACATGTCATCTCCATTTTTCAACCAAAGTTTTGCATACAAATAATCATTGTTTCATTCTTATAGTCACTGGTGTTTGTGGTCCTCATGTTAATACAATTGATAATGGTCGATATAAATGTCACATCCAAGGTCTTTTGTTGTTTTTGTTCAAACGAATGCTCAAGCTACAATAAATGTACAAAATCATCCGAATAGCAATGCATCGAATATTGATCTTATATATCCTGATGATTTATTTCAAATTCATGTACATTCTCTATTTCTGCCACCAGCATTGTCTTATATGAAACGAACACATGGTTACGGTTCAATTTTTTCAAATTACACTATAATTGCTGTCAATTTTACTTTTGTTATCAGTAATAATGGCAAATTTGGCAATGAACATTAAAAAAATCAATAACAAGCAAAAAGAATTATTCATTTGTTTAAGGTTTTTCTGTTAACAATAATGCAATACTTACAAATGATTTGTCGAATAACTTGAATTATAATTATATAAATACAATGAATTATACCGAATGATATATTTATCCAGTAGAACAAACAACTAGATCGATATTAAATGGACCAACAATACCTCAGCTGACCATTTCTGTATGATCTGGTAGGTGGTTTTAACATTATCTTCATTTTATATAAAGATAATTGAAATATTGTGTTTACTTTTTCTTAGATCTTTCTTTGCATTTTAATTTTTGAATGAAATTCCCAATGATGGTCTATTGAATTGAGAAACAAATCAAAGAATTCAAATAACAAACTTATTAAATGTAACAGCATCGAAACACAATACAGACATCGTTGATGCTTGTCTTTCATGTAAATTTTCATCAGAAAAAAACAACAAATCTTTTAATAGAAATCTTTTCCTTTAGAAAAAGTACCGAGTAACCTAACGTTAGACAACAGCATACTTTTATTATGCCAAAAATTTTACTAGAATGGTACTACAAGAATGCATCAAACATGTCATGACTATTTTGAATGTATTCATGATTTTCTCATTCGAATAAATTCTTTTACCAGTGAAGCAACAGCTTTAGGGTTAGAATTAATTGAAGAATCGAGAATCGTATTAGGTAAAGTTTTCATTAGAAAATCATTGTTATGTGTTTTTTTTCTGTCAATTTTAAATAGCTGAAATACTTCCGACTGTTAAATTGACTTTACCTGTTAAAATCATCTTACCAATTAATAATACAAATCGTGCTTATTCACATGGCATTAATATTATGCCTGGTGATGGAACACCTATAAAAAGTGCTCATCTCACAAATTATTCATTTAATATAATACAAAATATCAATATTAATGATTTGTCATCTATCACAGTGGCAATATCCAGCAATGCATATAGCTCTGTTAAAGTTTTACAAGTATTTTCAACTGTCTAGAGGATTATTTCGAGTTTTTTCCTGTACCTACATGATGCAACATTATGTACCTATATATATTGCCGTCGCATTCGCTCATGGCTAATTGGATAAATGTTTTTCGTTTCGAACTTAATCTTACTTTGATAAAATCATAAAAAAGAAATATTTACATAATCATTTTTTTTGCTCTTGTGATATGTTTTTTTAAATATTACACTAAATTTCATTGGAGTAAATTTTTCATTCATCATCAGATTTTTAAAGAATCATACGGTAGAAAGATTTAAAGTATCATCGGTTTGTTTCCATGAAGAACTTAATGTTCATTTTTTTAAAATAATGATCATATTTATTCAGCATACGGACACGAATCAAAAGAACTAACATGTGTCGAAGACGACAATTCAATATGGATCAAATTCTACATTTCAAACATATTTGAATATTCTTGCTTGTTTATGTACCAATGGCGGTACGTGTAATTTTCAGGAAACAACTACGATATCTGACCCTTATCAACTTGTTTTATATGACTATTCAGCACAAAATGTTGGTATGCTAAATGAATACACGTTAAATTTCTTCTTTACAAAAAATAAATTTTTCTTCATAAGGTATGTGACGGTAAGAGTTTATGAAAAACAAAAGGCTTTTATGTAAAGAAATCTAATTTCAGATGATGATGAATGCAGTTTAAACTCATCTTTATGTGGAAATGGCGTATGTATTAATCTTATTGGATCATTTACCTGTAGCTGTTCGTCTGGTTATCGATTCTACAATGAAACATGTGTTGGGAAGTTGTTTTACAAAAGAAAATGAAATAAATATACTGGATTCTCTATCTTCTGAATATATTGATGAATATATTGAACCAGATTTCATTGGTGCTTTTCTTCGTCGCTGTAGTGATGGTGAGATTTGTATTAATACCGATGGAAGTTATAAATGTGAATGCAATTCTATTTTTAACAACATTGGAACTTGTACTTGTACGTATAGTTGAAAAACTATGTATACGAATCGATCCTATTGTTAAATATTTGCTTTCTTAGACAATCCAAGTCTGTGTAATTCTACTACTAATAACACCTGCATCGATAGTAACAGTACCATCCTAAGTGTAAATAACACTGTCAAAATAAATGACCATTGTATTCGTAAGTAGTTTTGATACAATCGATGATTTAATAGATATAACTGATCAAAATGAATAGCAATTTTGACTTGGTGCGAATCGACATGTAATGAATTATGTGAACCAACGAGTAATTCTTACCAATGTAATTGTTTGAAATATCCAGGTTTTGATTATTCTGATACTATGAAGGGATATCTGCGTAAGATATATGTATTTGATATTTCAAATATTTTATTTTCATAATATTTATTTAATTGAAGCATGTCGTGATCTAAATTATGGTTATGGTTGTAAGCAATCATGTGAATGTGTCCATGGAAAATACAATGGAAATACAACACATGCAAATGAGAGTTGTACTTGTGATCCCAGATATCAACCACCTCTTAGTTTTCAACTTATTGATCAATGTGGTAGGAATATTTCATTTGTCAATCGATCTTTAGGTTATGAAGGAAGTTTTTTCTTGTTCTTATCAGCAATTAATAGTCCATGTAATAATGCAACAGAAGATCGTGCATTAGATCCAAATAATTGTATTACGATTTGTGCTTGTCAACTTGGTGATGAAAGACCCAACACAACTACGATTTGTATAGGTATGAGTAATCAATAAATGAGGTTAAGTTTTAACGATTCAATTCATCTATGTATACAGATATTGCTGAATGTGAAATTAAGATAGATAATTTTAATTCAGAAAGTTCAATTTGTAGTAACATTATTGGAAGTTACAAATGTAATTGTAATAGTGGTTACCAGATCCGAAACAATTTTTTGTTTCGAAAAGTTTAAAAGTTAATATATTTTGTTGTATAGTATATTAATGGTTCATGTATTGATATCGATGAATGTACAAATCTGGCAAGTTGTGCCAATTATAATAACTCATTTTGTACTAACATTGGAGGCTCATATGAATGTCGATGTAGCCTTGATGTTCTAGTAGGAGGTCTATTTATAAAATCGTTCAAATAAATATGTCACATAACATACCCACACCCTCCTCTTTTCTTTACATATATTGAATTCACTACTCACTATAGTTTACCATTCTATTTGAACGGAAGTTTAGCTATTTCTCTTACCACTGTCGTGTATCTCATTCTTTTATCGCTACTACTATGGGGATGTATACATCGATAAATTATACCAAGAAAAATATCTTAATCTTGAATTTGCATCAACTCAAGCGTAGGAATAAACAACACGAAACTAATATGATAATAGTGCATGCGTATCGAGTTAAATTTGATAAACAAAATTAGTTTTATGGTTCAATGAGGACATGTTGTTGTTGATATGAAGATGTGGCATCTGGCTTTTAAAGTATTTTAAATTTAAATTTTCAAAAATTTAAATTCAAAATAAAATTCAATAAACCAAATTTCAATCTACGATACATTTTAACTTTCATGTACAGTAAATTTAAATTTTTTTTACATTTGAATATTTTAAGCTCTATTTCTGAATTTAAGAAATTTTGCTATCTGTATAATTTGATCACCACATAGGTGCACAGGTGTTAAAAAATTCGGACACTATTTATTCAGAAACATTGGAAGAATAAACTGGGGGGAAAAATCAGCAAAAAGGATCTTACATTTAGCTACAAGACATGAACTTTTTCTCAACATGATTTATTTTGTAATTAGAAAACAAATTTACTTTTGTCAATATCACTAACAATTTTAATGCCAAAAAAGTTAATTTTAATGTTTCATGTAGACTTAAACAGGCATTTGGTTTGTAATGATATACATCAATAATTTTTCAAAGATGAAAAAGGTGAGTTTTATTTAATCATATCTTAGATAGATATTGCGATTTGTTTAGGATCAAACAATTTATTATACAGGAATTGTAATCGACGCTTTCAATAGTTTATTATAAGTAAAGTTATATTTCACTTTCATCATGCGATTTTTGAATGTCTTCCTTCTCGTGTTTAGCACTCTCTATTCCTATTTTAATCCAATCAGCAAATGTTCCAATTAATATCCATTCAGGTCTAGTTTGAAGGCCTAAATAAATTCGACCTGATCGTATACTCAGCAGATATTGTTCACCATAATCATCCATGCCTTCTCCAATGATCAATAGTTCACATGGAAGAGCATGAAATGTCTCATCCTTGTTCATTTCGTACTTGGTTATTTTCTTGTTACTTTTGGATTGTTGTTCAGCATTTTTGATCCCATCAATATAAGCAGCTAAATGATTTTGAGCATCATTGCGTAGGTTTTTGTCTACGAGATGATCATTTTTCTTAGCAAGACATTCGAAAAGAAGATCAGCGTAACCTTGACTGTCGTTTTCGTAGGGTCTCCATTTTGCAATTGGCAAAAGATCAGTTGTTGCTAGGCGATAATTTAATCCACAAAAAATGTGATCTCGTCCATCATGTATTTTAATTACATCTCGAATTTCGTCTGGTAAAATAATGCCTAGTTTAGATTCTATATGTTGAATAGTTTTTTCTTCTACACCTGGTCGATCTTTATTTTGAAATTTAGGTGCATATTCTAATACATCGTTAAGTTGATTCCACAGTTTTGCACTTGTCGTAGATTTTGATCGTGTGCGTGAAGTAATGCTCTCATTGGTTTCACTAGTAGCCATGTTAAACGTATTCGTGTGCACAATTAAAATCTAGAAAAATACATTAATGTGATCGAAGATGAATAGAAAAAAAAGAGAGAAAAAAAAGCAAGGACAAAATCTTGATCACATCGACCACCTTTTCAAAAATGAAATGAAAAAGAACGAAATAAATGTGCTTATATAGAATCAAACATACATGCAAGTATTTATAATATGATTAAAGTGTTATTTCAGAATGATTCATTCATAAAAAAAAAATCAAGAATCTGAGACTCCCCTATCGATAGTCTTCAACCTCCACTTATAACGTAGACTAAAATGATACCCACACCTCATAACGGTAAAGTTTTCTCTGAAGACTCCTAAAATAAAACATGCGAATAGAAAAACGCCCATTAAATTAGAAAAACTGTTGCAAAAGTATACAATGTTCAATCTATAATTTCGATTTTTTTTTTGAAACAAAGCAAAACTTAGATTGAGTATTGATATGTATTTGTATACGAGAGCTCTGAAAACACTTACGAGATAGTCCTTTTGCAATGCGGAGCTTTAAGTTAAAAAAGCTTTTCATTTGTTAATTTTTTTCCCACACATTTACAATACCATCAAGATACATTATATAATCTGTAAAGCTTTTTCAAGCATACTCTACCTCTAGGTTCTATTACGTACTGTCGATATCTAAAATAGTGGAAGCAAAAAACAAAGTCGAAATTTTGTTGCCTTATCGAACGTACTGTATTGTTGTGTTTATTTTCATTCATGAAATAATCTTTGACAACACAAGAATAGACAATACGATATTGACAGTTCATTTTGTAATTGAAAGAGTGGCTGTTGAAACAAAACTTATTAATTACAAAAGAATCTTGCTGTCGAACAATGATTGCAAATATTTAGCAAAAATAGTTCGAATCTAACAAACTCATAGAAGACATAATCGTAACCAAAGGAACAGAAAGCACATTCAAAAAAATAGTAGTCATCCAAACAACGAGAAAAGGAATCTTATTTACATAACATTTAGTATGAGTCATAGAACTCGAATTCATAGAAACATTTAGTTTTGACTTGATAGAAATAAAACAGAAAGAAATTAGTTATAAAATTCATCCTTCTATACCTTCTTTTAATCTTTTAATTTATAATGATGTAAACGCAAATAATTTTAAAGAAATCAAAAGAAAACAGTTCAATATCAAAGACAAATACTATTTACAATGAAATACGGATCTTATATTGTTCTTGAGAAACATCATTCTATTTACATATCTTTCTTTTTCTAATCAAATTCAAAAACACAAGACAACTATCTGTGACACTTCTAAAAGCAATGATTATTAGAACCTAGATAACACTCACTTCTGCATAATATTTTATGAAAGAATTCTCAAAATGAATACATTACTCTCCTTCGAAGAAGTGAATAGAAAAAATTTAAACATCGACAACCTCATAATATTATTGAAGATTCTCAAGAATTCACATCAATGCTTAACGTTTTGTTTCTGTTGTATAATTTGGAAATAATTTTATATTAGATGTGAGTGTCATTTTGGTCTTCAACAACTCATTCACACCCAGAACGATTGTGCAATGTTACATAAATAAACAATTCTAACGAAGTTAGGCGAGAAAGACGATAATCTCTAGACATAGAACTATTTGAACAAAGTCTATTATTTCATTTTGGAACCGATATTATTCTACGTTTAAATATAAGTGGATCAGATTTGGAATCAAAAAAAGTAGAAAATCATATTGGCCATCATGAAATAGAAGGTTTTTTCATTGAGAGAGTTTGCAGTCATTTCAAAGACAAATAAGGAGTATTGACGCGAGCAAATGGTGGTGATTGAATGTCACAAGAAAAGTTCAACCAGGTCAAATTAGAACATACGGAAAGAATCTTTTCAAGTGCATTTCCATTTCTCTATCATATCGTAAGTTGATGAAGAGCCTGTAGTGTATCTTCTCAAGAACTCATTATCTCATCTGCAGCATTTGTCTCTTCGATATTGTTGCTATCAGCAATTACCGACTGTATTGAATTGCCTTCCGAGTCTATAGTCATCTGATATTATACTTCTATTTGGTTATAATAGACAGTGGCCTTCGAATGTACGAGTTTTGATGAATCTAAAACGATTTGCACTAAATATTAAAGATTAGTGTCAGCTGCTGGAAATGTCGTGCTTAGGCTGTCGAACTTTTTTTGTTTCCGATGACATAGTTACCATGAGAGACGACGAGAGTATGAGGTATGAAAATAGATGAGCTATATGGGATGTCTGTCCAGCCGTCGCATCTACATCCTTGTACTCAATCTTTTGTCTGTTTCGAACTATGTGAATAGATGCGAGTATGTTAGTCTTACTTAATATTTTTCGTCAAGAGACATTACCGATACTGTTCTTTAAATTTCACATCTAGCAACAGTTTTCCTTACTAAGTAATTTTTGTTTTCTTTTTTTTCTAATTCCAATAACAAAAGATAAACAGCACTCATATATCATAAATAAATTGCATTAACAAGTCAGATGTTTTTTAGGACAAACTACAACCACTGTTCTATTACTATAACCCAGAAAGCAGAGTGAAGACTTTTTAAAAGATTAAGTTGAGAGCATACATGAAAAATCGTTTAACTATTTTCAATCATTGGGCAAGAAAAAAAGAACGGTCAGAATTTTCCTTTGTCACTCAAAAGAAAGCAGGAAAAGATTTCGAGTAAAAGTGCTGAGAAACAATAGCATAGAAAAATGAAGATGAAGAGGCAAAGAATGATTAAAAAAAGGAGAGAACATCACTAAAAAACAGATGATCTCGAGTAAGAAAAAGTGACTTGGGAAAGAAAAAAACACAGTGTAATTAGTTCTAGCTGTTTGAATTATTCCTCTCTTTCGTTTTCACATGTTGACACACATTTTGCAAAACGTCGAACATTGAAACATTTCAATTTTCATTTCCTTTCCATTCGAAAATCAAAAAAGAAAATGAAAGTACTAATCCTAGCATTCACACACAATTTTTTTTCTTTATGCGAATGAATTTCTATTATTCTGAATTGTTTTAATTTAAAACTACGATGTCATTTATTTAATGTGTGTACGTAAGTATGAGTTTTAAAAATAAGAACAAATATGAAGAAATTCATGAATTTTTATTGAAAATTTCGTTACAAAAAACAACATAACAATGGTTTAGTTAGATTATGAACATGATCTTTATTATGTTATTCGAAACAAATGTATTGAAAAAGTATCATATTCATTTTATCTTTTATCCAGTCGACTTTGAGATATGCTATATCAGGACAAAGTGTCCTGAGAAACTAAATCACTTCAGTTTGATCCAGCTTCTCGAGATAGACTTTAATGATTTTACTTTTAGGTTTTGTTGAGAAAAAAATTCTATAATCTTCATGATTCATATCTTCTGAATCAGCGAATGATAGAGAATGAATTTAAGATTGGAAATTAATATACCAACAAGAATCTCTTCGATAGAAATGGTCAGATAATAAATTTGTGTTATGGATAAAATACGTGTAATATACACATTAATAATGTCTCGCCATTCATTTGGATGCGTATGCAGAAAAGTCACTGGAGTTGATTTAGAAAGATCTGAAGAAAAATTGCTCATCTCATCTTGAATAAATTCGTCTCATCGTTTTCTATGAAGAATAAAATAATTTATTTTCTTATTAAAAAAAAGTCTTTTTCAAACACTTGTATGGTTGAACTGAGTACATGCAAGATAAAGTCGAGTTTCTGAACCTTTTCCACAACTTGCGTAATATTGTAGATAAAATTCTTCTCATTGAAATAAATGCTTTAAAATAATTTCCTGCCATCGATTAGTATCAAGATAAGTAATATCTTTATGTTGAGTAATAAAAAATAAAACTTTTAATTTCGAATCAATTTTTCTAAGAAACATTTCAAATATATCAAACTTTGTACTAGATACACATGTAGAAAGATATTTTAACTTTGATAATTTAGATGGTAAAGTTGCAGTGTATATAAGATTATTGTCAAAACATTATTAAAACTACAATGATTTTTAAGGACAAGATGTGTAATAAAACTAAATTGTTGATCAACATTAATAGGTAGTGAAACTAATAAATCTGAAGAATCTATTGACACATTGTCACACTCCAACATTGGAAGTTTTAGAATTATTCCATAAACAAGGTAAACAAGATAAATTATTCAGAAGTGAGATAAATACATCTGATTGAAATTTATAAAGAACAAATGATTCAAGGCGATTAAAGGATGAATCCAAAGAAAACGATGACCAAAATCGATTCATCAATAATGATGCAGAAGAATTAATTGAAAATATTTGATGTTTATTAAAGATTTTCATGTGTTTGTAAATATCCATCAATATTTCTTTTGATAATCCTTTTATCCAAGTTAATTTTGAATAAAACTGATGAAGAATTGAGAAATAGTTGAAAACGATGGTTAAGATTGGCAAATGCACGATATATGTTACAAACATCGAGATAAGTAAATACGTCATAAAAAGATTCGTTGGAAAAGTCTTCGATAGTCGTTATGGATTTTCTATTAATGAAGATTAATATAAAAAAATATAGTTCTTTTAATAACTTACGTATTTTGTTCAAAATTACATCGTAAATTGTTTATTTCCTTTGTTCATCAAAAAGTGATTTCATTCAGTATCATTCAATCTGTAAACCTTATCAAATATCTTTGAATTCCATCCATTCAACTCATTTCATGAAACGAATTCAAGTTTTTCATGCAGTTATACTCTAGAGCAATGCGATTAGTTAGTAAAAAGAAACCAAATGGAATACATCACAATCATCAATGTGAAATTTTTTTTCAATTCAATTCAATACATATAAATTAAGAAATCTTTTTTTACTCAATTAATGAATTAAATTCAGTTACTCAGCTGTAACATTGAGTTACTTCTTTCATGCTGTTAGAATAAATGATCTCGATAAAGAAGAAAATTCGATAAAT